CTTCTTCTTCTCCTCCTGATCCTCGGTGTGTCGAGCAGATCGGTTTACATCATCTCTGTGTCGCTGGCTGTTGTCCAAAACCCTCGAGGAAAATATGAACTGTGGTTTTAACAAAATACAATTCACCCTGAAGACTGGGAGGAACGGGTGATCTGTTTCCTGATCTGCAGTACAAACAGGCAACATTTTCATTTCCAGTATTGTTCCTAGAAAGTTAATATAATGGTCTAAAATTTGCATTCAGAGGACATTGTAAGGAACACGGATGATGTTCTATGATAACAAAGGAGGAAGGTTCTCAAACCAACGTTCAAAAAATGTTTTCCAGATTTTACCTAGGCCTCAGATGATTTCATGTTCTTTTATAAAACATGTCCCCAGTGCTAACAAATCTTAATCCCAACATTCGGAGAACGTTAAGACGTTACTGAGGTGAGAGAACTAGCCTTATAAAATGTTCTTGTAATGTGATATTTTAAAAAGGTGGAATGTTCTGTCTCTAGTGTTCTGAGAACGTTTATGGGAAGTTGCTGCTGGAACACATCTAGCATCTATTTAACGTTCCCGCAATGTTCTATGGTAACAAAGGAAGAACAAAGTCAGTGTAAAATTCAATTTTGAGAACGTTGGGCCATAACAATGTCACCACTAAACACTTTAAAAACATCTTTAATTTTCCTGCCTTTAGGAAGAACATTCTGTGAAATTTAAGAAAACTCCCTACTGAAGTTATGAGTAGAACATAACAGAACTTTCTCAGAACCTTTTTGGAACAAATAAAATGTGGCAGGGTCCTCTCTGCTCTGTGGAAGCACTGCCTGCAGTTCAGTCAAAAAGTCCCCAGATTTTTGTCCCGTGACTTTTGTTCACAGCTGAGTTGGTCATGGCTTCACGGTTGTCCAGAGGAAAGCAGATTTTTTTATTTTTATTTTTTTTACAGAATCTGGTTAGAACAAATGTTTTATTTTTGGCAAATTTTTACAGATGAGTTGTTCAAGAACCATCGGGAAGTTGTCATGTATACAGTGTTTGTCCCGTGTAAAGCTGTTGGTATGGCCATGCACTCTAAAAATATATATTCTGGGCTCAACAAGAAATAACACAACGGTTTACATCAATCTTTTTGGATTCTGATAATTTAAGAAAATTAGTTCAACCAACAAACTAAACAGAGATGGAAGAATTAACATTTCCGCTGCAATTAAAGATATTTTATTTAGTAAATTTAGGGAAGGGGACCTGAAATCCTGAACTTGAGGTGAAAAAAAGTTATCAAGCCAATTTCAAGAAAGTTACCTTCATTAAAATTTAGTTTGAAATTAACTTATTTTAAAAATTGAGTTTAAGTTATACACAATTTTAAGTTGATGCAATTACCAACATAACAACCCATCAAGATATTGTAAAGTATAACTTAAATAGTTTACCTAATCAGTAAATTGAATTTTTATTTTCAAATCACACAACTATGTATTTAGTTAAGTGGTGGGAATAAGAGTTACTTTATGGATTTGCTTTCCTTTTTTAACGTGTATCTGTCCAACCTCAAGCTCTTATGATTTGAAAATTTTAATGTCAAATACTTTACATTTAAAGAAAGAAGAAATTTACTCTGACACATTGTAAAGTGTTTATCAGGACTTTTAAAAGTTCACCACAATGTAGCTTTAAATAAGACATGAAAGAACAGACCATATAATGTGACTTTATCATCAGTGGCCACTTCTTTTCTTTCTGCGCTCCGCTGATTATTTTTGTTAAACTGCTTTGAGCTGCTGCGTCTGGAGAGCAGGTTTAGGCTGGATTATGAAGCTCCTGGAAACAGGACGTGTTTGTCATATTTGGGACAGTCGGTGTGTTTGTCTTCCAGCTCGCAGAGATTCTGTCATCAGAGCATCAATCTAAACTTCACTCTGGTCGTCTTCGTGTTCAGACCTGCAGCCTGAAGCCGCGGCGTCGCTCTGACATTCAGATCAAGTTTCCACATTCTTGGAGAGTTTCTGTGTTTTTTGAATCCCCCTCCTCTACAACTCCTCCTTTTCCACCACAGGAACGCTTTACGAACTCAGGAAATTCACTCGTACTTCCAAGACACGACTGTGTTTCCTGAGCCACAGAATGTTTATGACCAGTTCAGTCCACAAAGTCCCAAAACAGGATGCGTTTTCTATCTTGTGCACATAAAATAAAAAACTATGTGGAACTCGTCTCCAAACAGGCCTGTTTAAACTCTGCACAATGCTCAGACAGTAAGCAAAGAGGATGGACACAAACAACTGCATCAAATTTTAAATATACAGCAAAAGAAATGAAACCTTTTGAAATAGTGTTCAACTGTATGCGTAACAAAATAACTTTTGTTATTTTATAGATTTTCCCGTTTTGTGAAATTACAAATATCTAGAAAAATGACAGTAAGAAGTAATAATTTACATTATGACTTTAAAAAAATCCCCTTAAAAATCATTTAAATTAATTAATTTAATGTAAGTTAATCATTTTCATATAAAAACCATGGAAACATCATGTCACCAACTGAAGCTTCCAGAAGTTCCAACTGTCAAACAGCAGCAGGTTTCTAACTGCAGCTCTTCATTGTAGAATAACCTGTAAATATGAGGTTAAAGGAGACTTTTAACTGATGATGGTTCGCACCGAGCAGCAGAGACGTTCAGCTCCTCACAGCAGTAAGTTCACTGAACAACAAACTGAGTTTCGGTTGCTATTACAACCCGGCACGTATCCGTGGCCTCCAGCCGTTCCCTGAGCTGTTCCAGCTGTTTGTGCTTCTTCCAGCTGTGGAGAGGTTCATTCTGACCTTCCTGCCTCCAGTCGTCCACCGATTCCTCTTCATCCAATCAGAGGTGTTTCCAGTGGCTCACTTGGTCCTCAGAGCGCTGTTTGGAGCGGTTAGCGGTTCAGGTAACATCACCGACATGTTCAGTGGAGCCAGCTCGCAAAAACAAGCGTTAAAGAATATTGGAGAAAGTTAGAAAACATTCAAGAAGGCAATGACATGTCCACAAATCCACTTTGAAAACAGAGGGAGACTTGCTGTGCAGAACCTGCCTGAGAATCTATATATTTTTAGATTTTCTTTTGTGTTACAGTGGTTTTGTAACATCTGTCTGAATATTTACAACAACACTACAAGCAGGAGCTCCTAACGGACAATTCGGCTGATTTTAAGAGCACCAATTGGCCTCGATATCCAAAATAAAGTGCAAAAGCAAGTTTCAAAGAGAACAGCTGTGCCTTTCTGCTTAGCTTGGTTACCATGGAGACGGATCTCATTTAAAGTGAGCCAACTCTGGGATTCTACAAAACCAGGAAAACAATGATGAGCTGGTTGGGCCCCTGAAAACTACTTTAGAGAAAGAAACAACCTTGGAGACTTGGAGACTTATTTTAAGTCAACTTTAGTTAGTGATGCTTCTTTGTAGTTACAGTTATTATTTTTAAACTACATGTATATTTTGTATTCTATTCTTGTTCATCTATTTATTTTTAAACAATTAAAATTGATGCTGAAATATAAATAATTGTCAGATGGGTTTTTTTTCTCCAAATTGTTAATTTATTTTTTTTGTATTCATTTGTTTATTTTAGCTCCAAGTCTTTTTAAACAAGTCAATTCAATTGAATTTATTTTGTTTTTTGTCTTTATTTTTTATGTAAATTTTAATTGTAATTATTATTATTATTATTTTTAACTTAAGATATTTAATTATATAAATTTGTTTTAAGTATAATAAAATTTGGTTGATATATTTAGTTGTATTTTTTCATTTTATTATTTTATATATATTTTATAAGAAATCTGTAGTTTTTCTACCCAAAGTATTCTACTTTTATTTATTTATTTAAAAAATGTTAATAAAATGGAAATAATATTACATCACAGCTCTTTGTTGGTTATTTTTAAGCTTGTATTTCTGAAGCATTTTTGTTATTTTTTTTTAAAATCCACTTTACTAGTTATCATGTCAAGCTCAGCAGAAATGTGCCCTTGATGATGATATTGATAAATGTCTCCTGTCCTCAGTTCTGTTTCTGTGCATCGCCCACAACCTGCCGCTGACCTTTGACCTGAAGCTGACAGCAGGATGTTTATTTGTCGGTGAGGAGACACAACACACATGTTCTCTGCAACATGTTAAAGATGTGAAGAACTGAACTCTGTGTGTGTGTGTGTGTGTGTGTGTGTGTGTGTGTGTGTGTGTGTGTGTTCAAGCTGTGTGTGTTGCCGGCGGAGCGTTGTCTTCTTCCTTCAGGTGTTCGGTTCTCCTCATGTTTCCCAGCATGCTCGGCTCTCGAGGCCGGGCCTACCTGATGCTACTGATCCTGTCTGTGCTGTATGGAGGTAAACACGCACAGCTACACACACACACACACACACACACACACACACACACACACACACACACACATACAGTGCAACATCTGACAACCTGAGAATCATTTCCATCATTAATTGTTGTAATTAATATTTTCTGAATTAATTAATAATTTGTTTTGTCTCTAAATGTCCGGATCTCAAACAAACAAATGTCTTCACAGAAAAATCTTTCCAGCAACACTCCCAAGCCCCAAAGACGTTTTATGATCATGTATGACAAAGAAAATCATTTTATCATTGTGTTGTTTCCATAGAGATGCAGGACTTTATATTGCAGTGAAAAATGAGACCTCAGTGAGGAATAAAGAGCAAATATTAGAGTTTAGCTAAAATGAGTGATTTGCTGCACTGATTACATTTTACAAACCAGCAGATGTCACTGTGCTGCTGAGGTAGAAGTTGAGCATCACTGGTTTCTGCTTAAAACCTGCAAACTCCATTTAACAGGAATTATCCAAACAAGTGATTTACAATATGTGTTTATGTACAGGAGGACTATCAAGAAGCCTTTAGAAGTAAATAAATGTAATCTTTATTCCCTGTATAGGCTGATAGATTTGCTTTTAAGAAACAATCAGTGCTGTAACTGTTAATTCTTCAGCTCTTTCTAACACATATGTACAGACATGAACTGCACAACTTTTTATTTCCTTGAAGGCTGAATAAATGTTTCTTCTGCAAAGGGGAATTTTTTTTACAGCCCCTAAAGAGGCTGTTGTGAGCACCAAAATAAGAATTCAGAATAAGAACAGCAATTTACTTTACTTCAACAAGTATTGTTACTTTAAAAGTCCAGAAATAAGAAGAAAATGCAGAGATTTTTATCCATAAGATAACACAGACTCAGTGAATTTACACAGATCAGTCATGTGGAGTCGCTCTCTGATGGCCCGTTCTGAGCATAAAAGATGTTGAAATGTGTCCTGAGTTAAATATAGAGTCATGTGGTGTTAATGGTGCTGTTGCAGGTCCAGTTTCAAATAATTCAGTGTGACACTGCTCTGTCTCTGAGCTGTTACCTGGACCTGCAGCTGACAACTAATGCAAAAACAATGACAAGACGTTGCAAAACAACTACAATCTGATGCAAAATGACCACAAAAAGTTGTAAAACAATGAAAGCAAAGCAACAATGAGTTGCAAAATAATCACAAAAGGTGGCAAAATAACCACAAAACATGTAAAACACTTCAAAGCTACAAAACCACCAAAATATGATATAAAACAACCACTAGAAGTTGCAAAACAACCACATTGATTTACAAGGCGACAATGGCGGCAAAAATGTGATGCAAGACAACAACAAAAAGACATATAGCAACCAACATTTAATGCAAAACGACAAAAAAAAGCAAAACAACCACGCAAAGATTTAAAAGAGCAAAAAAAGTTGTAAAACAACTACAAAGAAATGTAAAAGCAACAGTCAGTGGCAAAAATCCCAAAATGTGGCGCAAAATGACAACAAGTAGCTTCAACCCATCACAAAAAGTTGCAAAAGAAGCACAAAATTCACAAAGCAACCAAAATGTGAAGCAAAACAACTGCAAAAAGATGTAAAACAATCAACATGTAATGCAAAATGACAAAAAATTGCAAAACAGCCACACAAGGATGTAAAATGAAAACAAAAAGTGACAAAACAACCACAACAAATTGCATAAGAAGCACAAAAATATGTAAAATGCTACGGAAAGATGTAAAACAACCACAAAATTATGGAAAATATGGTATCATGTGATGTTTGTGATGCTGTTGCAGGTCCAGTTTCAAACATCCAGCGTAATGCAGAGTCGGCCGCCTTAACTCTGAGCTGTAACTTAGATCTGCAGCTTCATCACAGCAAGTTACTGTGGCGGGAAGCCATCAAACCATTCATACTCGTCACCCAGGAGCTCATGGTGAGCAGGAGAACAATTTGTCTTTATTCACTGTGCAGGTGCAGAACCAGTTCTGCCTCGCTGCCCTTTGAGAACCGATTGGAATTCAACAGATCTGGCAAGACAGTGTTACATAATGGAAGTCGCGGAACTTCCTTTGGTCTGAATGCTTTAAAAATAATGAAGTTCATCCTGCAGGGAGCATGAATGTCTGAACCACCACTTGGAATCTACTGGTGGTTTTTAAGCTGCTGACGTCAGTACGGTTTATCTTCAGGGGGTTGAATATCTGTCCCAGTCAGCAGGGAACGTTCCCGCAACATTACCAACAAGTTCTAACATTCATAGAACGTTTTAAGGATGTTTATCATTGCCAACAATGTTCCTATGAGGTTGAATGCGAACTAAGGCTTTTAGCTGCAACATTTGGAAGATGTGTGTTGATAACAAAGGAAGGATGTTCTTCATGCAACACTGAGAAACATGTTCAAAATGTTATCCAGATCTCAGATGGGAGATGTTTCATGTAAGGTGTCATGTTCTGCCAGTAATGTTCTAAGGACGTTTTGGGGATGATGCTAAGGAAACACATTACAAAGTATATAAAATCCCACATAATCCAACATGTTACATGACGCCAAAGGAAGAACGTTCTCAGTAGAACATTCAGTTTTGAGAACATTATGGTTTAACGGTATAAGAATGTTATCACTAAACATTTTTAGAACATCTTAGCTATTCAACCTATAAGAAGAACATTCTTGAAACTAAAGGAAAAATTCACACCAAAAACATTAGTAGAACTTTGCAGAACCTTCTCAGAACATTTTGAAATTATTTTTTTTCTCAGCAGGGAATTCCTCTAATAACTGTGTTAATTGCTAATGTGACGACAAACCTCTAAATTTAACAATTTGTCAAATCTCTGGAAATCTTCAATAAAACAATGCAATGTGAACTTGGCACTGATCCGTCTCTCATTTGTCTTCCAGGATGATAAAGATGTGTTTCAGTCGGAGGCTCTGAATGTCAACAAAAAGTTTCAGAACATCAGAGATGAAGTCGTCCTTCAGTACGGATACGACCGATTCGAACCAGGCAGCAGTGGAAACAGCACACAGGAACAGTTCGCCGCCAAAACCATCATGCAGTGCGACAGTGAGTCACCTCAAGAGATATTACATTTAAGAGAAATAAATACAGAGCTGTGCACAGCTTTAAGAAAATAAAAGCTGAAGAAAACTCAATGAATACAGTGAACAGAAGTGAGGTCCAAACGTTTGAGAACACTGTTTGCATTTCTTTGAATTTAATACAAAATGTTTGATGCCAAATGACGACATCAGCTCAACAAACTGTGAAAAATGTTCCAGAATGTCAAAGTCTCTCAGTATTTGTTTGCCTTGTTTTGCTTCAATGACAGCGGCACTTCAGCTGCAGGGACGCAACCAGTTGGTTCAGATTGGATCAGCCATGTTTTTTCATTATGATGCCACAATGTTCAAAATCTTGTCATGTCAGGAATGTTTGGCCTTCTCAAAAAACAACCCCAAAAGGATGTAAAATGACCAAAGTGACACAAAACAAGCATAACCAATAGCACACTGACCACAAAAAATATGTAAATTGACCAAAATATGACTCAAAGCGAACACACAAAGTGGCAACATGACCAAAATGTGAGTTAAAATGACCACGAACAGTTAAGAAAACAACAAAAAGCTGTGAAGCGACAGAAATGTAATGCAAAATTAACTCAAAAAGTTACAAAACAACCAAAATGTGATGCAAAACAACCACAAAAAAGTGCAAAATTATCACAAAAAGATGTAAGACAACCAAAGAGATTCAAAACAACCTGAACAAATTGCACACCCACCACAAAAAAGATTTACAACATGCTTTTCAAAAACATATTTAAGGAAAAAGGAATGCATATTTGTTGGAAAAACTCATAATTACATACAAATGTTGTAATAACATTATTATACCATTTAATTCTGTTTTTATAAGAAATGTCTCATGTTAAAGCCTCCCTCTATCTCTGCTACATTAAAACACCATGCTCCCCTCTCTGCACATCATTGTTGGTGCTCTTATTTTTCCGTGCTGAATAATTCAGGTTCAATGTTTGTGTGTGGAGTCCAGGTGTGGTGAACCAGGGCATCCAACGCTGTGTTGATTGGTTCAGCCGCAGGTGGGATGAGTGTATGGAGGCCATACCTGTCCCCATCATCAACCACATCCTCTGTGTCCCCATGAAGTTCCACTTCCTGTGTGACGTCATGAGAGGTGAGAGGGTGCATAGGTCAGAGTCATCTGTTTAATATGTTCAGTATGTTCAGGATGTTGAATATCTTCAATATGTCAGACATGTGCAGTGTGTTTACTATATTTAATATGTTCAGCAAGGGCTGCAAGGTGGCGCAGTTGGTAGCACTGTTGCCTCGCAGCAAGAAGGTTGCCGGTTCGCGTCCCAGTGGGGGCACCGGAATCTTTCTGCGTGGAGTTTGCATGTTCTCCCCTTGCAGCGTGGGTTCTCTCCGGGTTCTCCGGCTTCCTCCCACAAGGTCCAAAAACATGTTGAGGTTAATTGGTGATTCTAAATTGTCCGTAGGTGTGAATGTGAGTGTGCTTGGTTGTCTGTCTCTAAGTGTAGCCCTGCGATAGACTGGTGACCTGTCCAGGGTGTCCCCTGCCTTCGCCCTAAGTCAGCTGGGATAGACTCCAGCCCCCCCGCGACCCTCGTGAGGATTAAGCGGTGTATAGAAAATGGATGGAATATGTTCAGCATATTTATTATGTTTATTATGTGTAATGAGTTGAATATATTCTATGGGTTCATTATGTTCAGCAAGTTCAATATGTTCAACAGATTCAATACGTTCATCATGTCTGTTATCTGCTGCAGTGTAACAAATCATAAAATCTGCATTGCGGCTTTGAAAGTCTGACGCATTGAAATTGTTGTTGTTGTTCTTCTCATTCTTTTTTTTCTCTCCTTCTTCATCATCTTCTACTTCTTCTCCATCCATCCATCCATCCATCCATCCATCCATCCATCCATTATCTATACACCGCTTAATCCTTGCCTAGAGACAGACAACCAAGCACACTCACTTTCACACCTGTGGACAATTTAGAATCACCAATTAACCTCAACATGTTTTTGGACTTTGTGGGAGGAAGCTGGAGAACCCAGAGAGAACCCACGCTGCACGGGGGGAAAACATGGAGACTCCACACACAAAGATCCCGGTGCCTCGACTGGGACGCGAACTGGCGACCTTCTTGCTGCGAGGCAACAGTGCTAACAACTGCGCCACCTTGCAACCCCTCCTTCTTCTCATCTTCATCTTTTCTTTCTCCTTCTCCTCCTTATTCGTCATCATCATCATCATCATCATCATCATCATCATCATCATCATCTTCTTCTTCTTCTTCTTCTTCTTCTTCTTCTACTTAGATTAGATAGAACTTTATTGATCCTTTGGTAAGGTACCTCAGGAAAATTGTTCTTTATCGTCATCTTCTTCTAGTTCTTCTTCTTCATCATCATCATCATCATCATCATCATCACCTTCTTCTTCTTCTACTTCATCATCACCACCACCACCATCATCATAACCTTCTCCTTCTCCTTCTTCCAGTTATGACTCCCTGGTGCAAAGAGCACATTCCTGTTGAGGGAAACTTCGGTCAGTTGTTTGATCAGCTGAACGCNAGGGACAGACTACAGGGAGGGTCGACTCTTGACGCTGTGACCCTGTGGAAGTACAACGTGAAAGCCAGACTAAAACTGGAGTTTTGCTTCCACAGGGTCACTGGAAATTTAGATGTTTTTGCGCAACAGTGGGCTCATAAAGAGCTTTTGTGCCGGGTCGTCAGTGGAGAACTGATGTTCGCATCATTTTTAAACTGATTGTTTTAAATAAGTAACTGTTTCGTTTTGTTATGTGCCAACTGTAAATAAAGTGCTTTTTTAAAATCTAAAATCTTCTTCTTCTTCTACTTCTTCTTCTTCTACTTAGATTAGATAGAACTTCATTGATCCTTTGGTAAGGTACCTCAGGGAAATTGTTCTTCATCGTCATCTTCTTCTAGTTCTTCTTCATCATCATCATCATCATCATCATCATCTTCTTCTTCTTCTTCTTCTTCTACTTCTTCTTCATCATCATCGTCTTCTTCTTCTACTTCATCATCATCATCACCACCACCATCATCATAATCTTCTCCTTCTCCTTCTTCCAGTTATGACTCCCTGGTGCAAAGAGCACATTCCTGTTGAGGGAAACTTCGGTCAGTTGTTTGATCAGCTGAACGCTTCAGTCGACCTACTGTCCAGAGAGTTCAGCACCGAGCTCTCCGTCCAGGTCAGGACTAATCCATTTCTCTTCTAATGCCTCCCTCTGAACTGAGCGTTGGGTTAAATGAATCCTCTGTGTGACATCCTGCAGGAGCAGCAGCAGCAGCCGGTGCTGGACGGAGCTCTGCCAGACGACGGGTTCACTCAGGCCATAAAAAAATCCTTCAAGAACCTGGTGGCAGCGATGGAGCAAGTGTTCAGTGTTCTGCAGCTGCTGCTCTCCTTCACCTTCATCACCATGTTCACTCAGTAAGATTCACACATTTATCATGATCGTCACTCAGTAAGTTTCACATGTCCATCACCATCTTCGCTCGGTGATATCCACACTGCCATCTCTTCCCAGTAACATTCACACCTTCATCACCTCCTCCTCCTCTTCAGGGCTCTGGGTTACCTCAGCTCTTACAGGAGGGACATTTGTTTTGACAACACCTACATCACCACCTACTTCAGGCAGATCGACGCTCGCAGGAGGAGAGCGGTATGATCTTCTTCATCCTCTTCATCCTCTCCTTCATCTTCATCCTCTTCATCATTGTTGTCGTCTTCATCTCCACCACATGTTCACAGTCTAATCGATCCTGTTCTGTGTTCAGGGAAAATGCTTCTTGCTGCCGCTGAAAAAGTCGGAGAAAAACAAGTTCATCAACCCCTGGAGTCTAAAAATTTACTCCAAAGAGCTGAAACAAGTGGTGCGTTCAACAACAACAACAACAACAACAACAACAACATTGCAGCTACAGATTTAATCATAACTGAGATGTTTATGAGTGTATCTGCTTTATGACATAGAAAATGTTAGTGTCTCATCTAAAATGACCACAAAAAATAATACAGTGTGAAAGAAAGTGAGAGAAAATGAATATTCACAGGAACAGCTGAGGAGTTTCAACAATCTGTCCAATAGGTTTATGCATTCAGTTAGTATAACAGGTAACGGTTTACTTTGTTTCTCCGGCCGACAAAATAGTGTCTGAAAATGAAAAACATGCCCATATGAGAAATATCAAAAAAAATAATTTGTTGTATTTGGAGAACCAATTGGAAACCTCAGAACTCTGTTCCACTCAGATTAGACTATCTACCAATAATTTAGATTTTTTTTGGCACAACTTGTCATACCTGCTCAGTCAGTTATAACATTTTTACTTTTTTGTGATCATGTATTTCATGATAAAAAGTATTCTCTATGTTTCGTATTTTTGTGACATGCAGCTACATATGACTGAGAATATATCACTTTTTCAGCTGCAGTCTCTCATTGTACTTGTACAATGTTGCAGTTTCTAGATCAATGACATGATTAGAAACAGAGAAGAAAAGACTATTTTGATATATCAAGCTAAAATTGCACACATATCTTTAGAAATATCCACACTTTATAATTTGCAAATTTCAGGTAAATCAGAAATTGTTCTCAAAATGTGACGATTTAAGATGGATTGACCCGTTAATCGCCAATACCTGGACATTGGGACACCTCAAGTTGTTGTTCTATGTGAGGTCAATGCGAGGTTCTCTGTGTGTCGTCAGACGTCGGGTCTATTCCAGGCGATGTCCGTCTCTCTGCTGTCATTCGTCCTGCTGACCGTCGACTTCTCTCTGTTCCACGTTCTGGACATCGTCAGCAGACACACTGTCACCCAGTTCAACCTGACCAGTAAACACACACACACACACACACACCGTCCAGCCAGAATGTTCTGTGATCCAACAATGTTCTGAGAAAGTTCTGCGAAGTCCCACTATTATTTTCATTGGGAAAATTGTGGGAAATTTTAGTTTTCTTTTAGCTCCCAGAGTGTTCTTCTAAAAGAGATGGAGGTTTGCAAAGGATGGAGCTGTTAGTTTAAAGCTCTTTCGTCCCCTTCAATAAATCTGCAGGACCACTCGGTAAAGCTGAACTGTTTGCTTGAACTTACGAACAAACAAAAAAAATAGCAAGAAAATTAAATTTATACATATTATCATTTTATACATATTACATATTATATTATCCACAGAACTAACTTAGCGTATCACTATAAAAATAAAATGTATATACCTTAACCTTCACGTACTCTAAATATTTATCTGAATTCCTCTTGAATCATTGTAAATGATTATTTATATATTTTACTCTAAACTGAAATTATTTAATTTAACTTTTTCACCTGAAATGCATTTAGGATCCTACAGTCTCATTTTCGTTCAGGTTTTGGTGACATCTGTAGACACTTGAAAAAGTTCACAAAATGACACAAAAATAACCGAAATCACAAAGTAAATAACCAAAACGAGATGCAAAACAACAAAAATGAGACATAAAACTACAACACTTGCGAACAGAAAAATAACTAAAATATTTATGCTATCTATCAGTTAAATTGATAATTACCAGCAGCTTTAGTCAAAATAGGAAAAAATGATGCTTTCTTCAAACGTACCCAATAAATCAGATCATAGTTTGTTTATATGGTTTATATAATGTCTTCCTACTGTAAAACCTTCGATTTTTGACTTAGAGCAGAGATTTTGGTGCAATTCAATCAAACATGTGAATGTAAAATGTCGTCTACATGTAAACATGTGAAGTTATTATAATTCAGATTTTTTAACATGTATAAATATGAAGACGAGACCTAGTTTTCACTTTTTCTGTCAACTATGGTATTATCATGCTAATGTGCTAATATTTCAAATTTGCTAAATGTTCCTGTGCTAATGTTCTATGTGAATGAAGTGGATCATCAGGTCATTTGACAAAGTGCAAAACAGAACAGCTCCTTTCAAACTGAGCACACTCTGTCTGGGCAGGTAGCCACCAGGTGGACATCAGAGTGGGCGGAGACTCCATGATGGCCCGCCTCCTGAGGACCATGGTTTCCGCCTTCAACAGCTCGTCCAGCCTTGACGTCACCAGCGACAACCGCGGTAGGTCACTCAGAATTCACCTGTAGCCTGGTGTCATGTGTCACGTCTGCAAATTTTCATGCAGTGTTCAAATGACGAATTCAATCAACAAAAGAATCACTGAGATGTTTTACTGATCCATTAGTCTAGTAACGACCGAAGTTTTAAGTTGAACATGTGTCTTGAAAATGATCTAGATTCACTACTTCAATCAAAAGTTGAAGATGTGTCTTTTGATTGAAGTGGTGAATCTAGATCATTTTTTGTCAGTGCAGCGATTTTGTTTGTAATTTATTCACAGTGGCCAGAATTAATTACACTAGATAGATTTTTGACTGTTTTTGTTAATTATAAATGTATACGTCCAAACCAGAACAACTTTAAAAAAAAATTCATAAAAACATCAGTCATATCTGAAAATTAGTCAGAGCTCAACCTTGAAATGTCTCAGTCATGATGTTCTATAACAACAACAACAA